AGGGAGGGAAATGGATAGTGGAGAAATGTGAGTGAACATAACTCTGCCTCCACACTTCTTCCTAGCTAGAACCTGGAAACCAATTTGATCTTCATCTAAGGAGAAGTTTGTATATGTGATCAGCCAGATGCTCCTATAGAGCTTCCATGCTCAGGCACCTAGAAAGGCAGGCAGATACACTTACAAGCACCTTTTTCAATATCTGTGTTCATTGTGTGATGTCTGAGCAATTTCCATAAAATTTCAATTATGTGCCTGCCCCCATTTAGCCATCTACATGCTTTCAGCTATAATGTCTGTGTAAGGCCAAAGAGCTGAGTGCCACTACTAGTCACCTAGTTCTGAATGCTCCAATTTCCATCTCACAACTAAATTTTCTGGGACCTGACAGTCCTGAACCATTCTTGTTTGCTCCAAGAATACCTGGAGTTGAGCCACCACTGCACATTTTGATTGAGAAATGGTGAATTTGCTAACTGGCAGTAGTTATGAAATTTCATATGCAGAAAGGATCTTTCAGGAACAATGGTACCACTGCTCATTAAAGGCAAATGAACCATAAGAGGTGAATGTTGAAAACACATGTGGTACATAGGTTGAATTGTTTTGTCTACACTTCATGCTGCACAAATGGGAGCTCTGATTCTTACCCCCACACTGTGCAGAGGGCAATGAACTAAACAGATCATTTGGACCTATTTCAGCAGATGTGCTACCTCTGTGAGTTGCAGCATCACATTTGCTTGGGTAAATACTGATGATTCCTGTAATACCTATAAAAGCCTTTGAGAAAATGAGGAACACAGTGATATAAGCCTGATTCACAGCTTTTACCACCACAAAGCAGACACAATGATGGACTTTAATGTGTGTCCAGCTGGCCTCACCTCAAGTTTCATAACAGTGATGCTCTAGCTGTCATCCAACCTGTTTCATCACTGAAAGCTCTCAAGAGAAGCAGGGACCAGTTCAGGCCACACAGCATCAGAGACAGCACTCAAGAGTAATCGTGTTGATGGTCTGTCACATCATACCATTCCACAGCAAGACTAGGGCCTCAATGGGATTACCAGCAATAGCTGTTGTAAAATCCCCCAAAGCATTCAGGAATCTTATACTTGATACAGAATTTTTCTCCAACAATACGAAGTGCAGTCCCTGACAAAAACTAGTGTGGTGTATACAATTAGATGCTAGAATTCTGTACTAAAGCTGATTGTTTAAAAAAATGTTTTCTATATATCCATATTCTGAAAAGGATTGGATCCTGCACATACTTATTTGCAGGAAAACG